ATATCTCGGAATCCATAAGTCGTAAAAATATATAATTTTTTTGATTTAGTCCTTCAAGACGGCCAGACACAACCAATGCATTTGTTTTGCACAGAAGGCCAAGATAATTAAGCTATAATATTAAATGTGTTTTAACAGTTCAAAAGCTACATTTAGTTCTCGACGAAATTTTTTCTGTATGCCACACTTCAAAAGGAATAAGATACACGATTTTTTATATAATACACAGTGCTATAATGTGCATTTCTGCGTCAGTGATTTTTAACTTCGCGCCTAATTTCGGAAGAAAAATAATTATTTCTAAAAAAGTACTGTCTGGGGAAATTTCGCCACCCTACGCTAAGGGTAAAGTCGCACCTATTTTAAATACATATTTTTATATTTGAAGAGCTGGCTAACGAACAGACTACCAGCAGCAGCAACAAATATAGGACGTTAACAAAAATGGTACGCTTGATCAGTGTAGCATATTTACAGGCGTTAAACTCCCTACATTTTTCAGGTGACGAAATTGCCCCGGTGGTGTGGTGATTTTACCCCCCTGTGTGCGAGATTGCCCCAGTATATTGGTTTTACATTTTATTTTTTTATAAATCACCAAGGTATTTAAAAAAATAGGGGAATGTCACATTTTAAAGCTTGGTGCTAGCCGCATTCAACAATAAAAATAGAAATATGATAACGTGTCTCAAGATGGACAAAAAATAGCTTTGAAAAAATGCTGACGAAATTCCCCCACTCTCCCCTACTTGGCTATTGTAAAACAACAAAAATTGCTCACATAAAAAATTATTTTCTTTACAATATACAGTGAAAAAAAATGTATGGGATCGGACTAATAGTTTACCGTAGACATGACCACCGTAAAATCAATTTAAAATACGAAAAACAATTTAAATTAAATTAAACTTTAATTTTATCAAAAATTAAAACCTTACACTCTTGGTACGCACTGCACCCATATATGATTCAACGAAACGCATTTGCACATGGCATTTGCAGGTGGGCTGGCTGCCTGGCTGACTGCCTGACAGCCGGGCACTTGGCTGGATTTGTTGGATTTGTTGTCGGCTGCTGTTGATTTTGCATGGCGGAAATATCAGCGACAAAGTTACCAAAATATTGAAAACAAATAAAATAAAATTTGCATAAATAAATGCTTTTTATGTGCATGTCGATATGCACACATTTGTGTGTATGTGTGTATTTTAAATCCCTAAAGCACTGGATTCAAATAATAATAATAAAAACAGAGCCGACAGCCGGGCAATAGCAACAAATTAACAACAAACAAATGTCGCCGAGCAGCAAAAAGCCAAAAACATGCCAATTGTTTGTAAAATCCAACGGAGCGAGTCGTTGGAGTGGGGAAAATGTTGGGAAAATGTGGGGAAAATGTCCTCTGATGCGATTAAAAGCGAATCTTTTCCGCATTCCTTTTGTTGGTCTATGCCAAAATTCCAATAAGTGTCATATATATTCATAGATAAATTTTCGTGTATTTTTTCTGAGTTTTTAAGAGTCGAATATGATTCATTTATAACCATTAGGTCGAGTTATCACTGTAGTAGCCTTCAGTAATTATTTATGAAAACAAAATCAATTTTCTAAAACTATTTCGTTTACAATTCTCATTGTTCAATTTGCTTACTTTTATTCGGTGGCTTAGTATATTATTGGTTAACCAAAATATGTTTCAAATTTCCCATAAATATATATTATTTGTCTGCTTCAAATTTATTTGCTTAGCCCTGGCAAAAAAAAACTAGCACATTAAACCTCCAGCGTATTCTATTTAAATATGTATGCATTTGATTAAAGTTCGTTGGTTGATTTTTAATTATTTTCTATGCAAATTGGGTTGCCCTAACCGAAGATCGCTCAACTGTGTAAGTAGAAAGAGCAATATATTTAAAACGTTTAGATATTAAAATAAAATAAAATTAGAATCGAGTAAAAAAAATCAGTATTTTAAATTATATTTTTAATTGATTGATTTTTTCAAATTTAAAATATACAATAAGAGTATTTTTGCCACTTGCATGCCCAAATGTTCACATTGATTTAGCATTTTTATCGTTTGGTGGCAATTTTGATTTAAATGAAAATAAAAACTGGAAATAAAAATGAAGCTCGGACAGATAAGGCTATCTATTCCCCCGACACTCCTCTATTTTTGGACACGCATTTCCAACGCCCAAGGCTAATAACACTATGCAGCATCAAAAATTAACCTCGATGAATGCTATATTTTTGGATTCGTTACGAATTCCCAAGTTAAACTGCGTTTTCCAAAGAGTTCCCCGACGCAAGGATTCTTAGCAAAAGGACCTCAAAGTTCGAAAAATGCTGAAATTGGCCAACTTTGCGGAGCTCTCAGAGGCAAATGGATGCATGGTTTGATTCGATGTTAAAGTTTTTTAAAATATACACCCATTATCTTTTAAACCCCATACTTAAACAATTTTTAAGATTTTTTTTAAGGCAGAAACAAATTCTAGAAAACATAGTCAAAAAACATAAAAGTATACAGCTGCGGTCAAAATGGTAGTAGTGTTGCCGCCCTGTGTATTTAAAAGTTTGTTGTTGTAATTGATCTTTTCCTGGTAATATTGTATTGATTATAATTTTACTATTAGACTAATTGGATAAGAAAAAATTACAACATCAAACTTTTAAAAACACAAGGCGGCAACACTGCTACTATTTTGACCGCAGCTATATGTTTTTCAGTTTTTTAACTATGTTTTTTGGAATTTATTTCTGCCTTAAAAAAAATCCTAAAATTATTTTATGTATGGGGTTTGTAAGATAAAGGGTGTATCTTTTAAAAAACTTTAACTTCGAACCAAGCCATGCATCCATATGCCTCTTAGAGCTCCGCAAAGTTGGTCAATTTCAGCATTTTTCGAACTTTGAGGTCCTTTTGCTAAGAATCCTTGCGTCGGGGAACTTTTTGGAAAACGCAGTTTAACTTGGGAATTCGTAACGAATCCAAAAATATAGCATCCATCGAGGTAAATTTAAAAAGCACTAAAAATGCTGCACAGTGTAATTCTTGACCATTCTCGGCTTGGTTTCGATTTCCATTGCGAGCTCGATTTTGGTTTTAGTTTTGAATTGGCTCCTGTGCTCTGTTTGATTTTGCACTGGTTGGTTGAGCATTAATTTAGTCGAAATAATATATATGAAATATGAAATAAAAGCAAATAGAGTGAAGGGGAATAAATAAATAAATCAATTTTACAATTCTGTTGAGCAAACAATAATAATGTATGACAAAATGATTGAAAATGTTTCCCTTTTCCCAAGCAGACATCATCGAATGTGGGCGTTGGGCAAAGATCCTATAAATCCTAATTCAATTGAAGTAAATATTAAGGGGTTTTAATGTATTATAGAATTTGAAATAAAATATTTTAAGGAGACTTATATTTATAGGTATTTTATATCAATAATCGAAGGAGGATTAATTTAAAATAATTATCAATCTAAACTAATATATATATGAACCAAAAAAAAAAACAGGAAGTAGCTGAGTAACCCAAAAAGGATTGAAATAAAAATCTAAAAAAAAAAAATATGATATAAAATAAATCAAGTATCTTACATAAATCAACTTAATTTGGAATATAAATTAAGGGACGTTCAATTTCTGTGGATGAAAAGGCGTTGTTCAGAAAATTTGAAAAGCGGTAAAGTGACATTTTCAGGCGCTGTGAAATGCAAAACAATTCCTCAATCTAAGTGGCTCAATCCGCCATCCAGAAGCCACTTCACCTTGCCCCCTTTCTTAATTTTTTTTCGTTAGATGTCTTATCAAATCACCTTTTGCCTCTTCGTTTGGGGCAATAATAAAAGAAATAAAAACGAGGGCCAAAGGAAGTACAACAAAGCAATCGGAAGCAGCGGAAATCAACGGCAAACAAAAGCCAAACACAGTCGCTGGCTGCAGCCAGAAAAATTTCCCATTTCCATTGCCATTTTCATTTCCATTCCGTACAACCCACCCACTCGCTTTTCCGCCCTCTCCGCGGGGCGTTTTCTCCTGTTGCTGCCGCTGACAGTTTTCTTTTGCCTCCGCCGCTCGGGGATTTTTCTCGTTTTGTCTTTTCTTTGGTCGCGTGCGCGCGCGAAAATTAGGAAAATATTGTTTTGCTTGCTTTTCCACCGATTTCTTTTCGTTTTTCACTTATTTCGCGTTTTTTTTCAGCATCAAATAAGCGGATTTCAATTTCAATGCCGATTCAAAGTGGCGGCATGTTATTCGGTAGGCGGAAAGTGGGCGTGGCCGGTGATGGGGGGCGGTGTCACTAGCACGGCGTCAATGGAAATGGGCAAGAAGCTGAGCAGATGCAATGTCGCCACATTCAAAAGTTTTGCCTACTTATTTCAACCTCATAAAAAACAATGAGATTAATTTAAGATTTCGACGTAACGGAGTAAAGGGTATCTGATAGTCGGGGCACATGAGTTTTTTATTGTAACCCTTGTTCCTTTGAAAATATAGGAAGACAAACGATAACGATCTTTATGATAAATCTATATAATTTTTAAGTCGGTTCTGTGGAAATTAATTTAAGTTATTTTGACGCCCTCACTGTCCCACTTTATATGTAAACCAATCTTAAAAATAGGCATAACATCTACAACATCTGCAAAGAAAAATGTATGCCATTGTCTCGGAACTAAAACAATTCTTTATTTGCCAGTAAGAACACTTACCCTCGATTGGGGTTTCGGCAAATAGTGCCAATTGTATAACTCGCGGGTGTAAACAAACTCCTATTCTAAGCGTGTGTTGTGCAAATAGCGAGGCAAATATGGCCAATTTATAGATTCCGAGATCATAGACAGATGGAATCGGGGCGGTATTTGCGCGGGGTAAATAACTCCAATGTGGATGCTGCGTGGATGGGAAGGTTTTTTACTATAAAAGCCCAGGAGAAACTCTTTCAAAAGCACAGTTCCGAGTCCCAAGTATTCCGATCCACAACAAGATGCGATTCCTCTGCGTGCTGATCCTCTCCTGCCTCCTGGCGGTGGCCTATACCGCCACGACGAGTCCAGCAGATCCGACAACGACTCCAACAGCGACTCCAACAACGACTCCAACAACGAGTCCGACTACGACCACTCCATCCACAGACAGCTCGACCACCAATTCAACCACCACGGCCACCACTGTGGCCCCCACGACCTCCTCCACCACGGAGGCTTCGACTTCCGACAAGAAAGTGAAACACGAAACCCATTGGAAAGTCGTAAGACGCGAGCCCGCTAAGATCATAACGACTCATCATAGCAAGGGCCATGAGGAAAAGAAGGACAAGAAGACTAAGAAGGACAATAAGACTAAGAAGGACAACAAGAACAACAAGAGGAAGAACAGGCGTACCCGTCGCAGTGGTTAAATTTTGAAACCCTCTTATCCCAAACCGACCCACCGATCTTACCCAAAATATTGATTATATCTTATTATATTTTTAACAAATTAAGCATCTATATTAGTACTTATGTCTTATAATCTATTAAAAGCAACGAAGCTATAATATTTGATTTTTTATTTACCAAAAGAAAAATACAATACTATGTCCAAAACAAGCAAATATGGAATGTCTTGTTTGGCGATCATACGACTTTTTTCAAAAAAAATTTTAAAAGATTTTTATAGGTCGAACCTTGGACCTCAGCCAAGAATAAAGTTTGAGTTACAAAGTTTTCGTGTTAAAAAAGCTACATTTGTTCCTTGTTAAAGGTTTTCTTCTTAATTCAAACATTAAATCGTGAGTTCGAGATGCCATTTGCCCGAAAGAAATACCATTCTTTGTAGGTTGTTAAAGCCGGGCGATATGATGGCTGCCCACAAACAATAAAATATTAATTATTTTACCCCGGTATCGATTTGGGTTTCCTCTCCAGTGGGTCACCATCCCCAGCAAATCCCCATCCGTTCGCCGTTTTCATTCTTATTTCATTTTTTATTTTGCTTGCAGCTTTTATTTGTATTTGATGTAGTGGTTGTTGTAGTTGCGGTTGCCGCCACTGCTGTTGTTGTTTTAAATCCATTAGGATATGACAACCCCCTGGTTAAATTCAATTAAATTGTTTTCTCTTTGGGTTTACATTTCTTGGCAACTTTATAATTGTTTCATGTGTTTAAACCACTGCCGCCGTCGCAGCCGCCGAAGGAAAAAGTGTGCGAGTGGGAAAGGGAAAAGAGATGCGGGGACGATGGGACAAAGGACAATGGACAAAGGACGAAGGACGATGGGCAACTGGGGACCGAGACGCCGGGATGCCAAGGCGCAAAGCCAAGAAGCAGCATAAGAAATGTATATGTACGTACGACTGCCCAAGGTAAAGGACCAGGATCGAGGGGATCTGAAAATCCGGGACTGGGATTGGGATTGGGACTGGGTTCTGGGTTCTGGCAGTAAGGAACGAAGCAACGAAGTTTTCAGTAGCCTCGAGAGATTTTCCTGTTTTTTCTTTTCCCCTCCCCCGTTTTCTGTTTTTTTTTACCCCCTCCAGATATGTATATATACCCATGTCCTGGGTCCCCGGGATCTGGCATTCGTTTTGGTCTCTGTTTGCCGTTGTTGTTTCGTAAAATAATCAACGAAAACGAGAAAAAATTGAAAGTAAGTAAGAAATAAATAATAAAGCAAAGACAAGGCAGCCAAACGATGCGATTGTATTCAACAATTTGCTGAACATCCAACGAGATCGCTCGAAGTCGAGGAAATCATTCAAGAACCCAAAAACTAACAATTAATAATACAAATTACAAAAAAAAAATTGAGATGAATCGGATGAAAAACAAGGAACGGAACTGTGGTATCAAAAAAGTATTAAACCACAAATTTCTTCTGAATTCATAGTATATTTACAGTGCTGATTGCTTAAAGTGTAAAAAAGGAAAGGAACTGTGGTATTCAAAAAGTATGCAACCACAAATTTTTTCAGATTTCATAATATACTTCTTAAAGTCTATCGGGGGATCAGTAATTGCTATTTGCCTCCATTCTCTCACACCTTCAGAACTTTCGGTTTGTCACTGGATTCGGTACTTTGGCCCCCTCGAACATATTTTCGAGCATTCCATCTTGAACATGTGCTTGGTTTATTCAACAACCCCCTCTGCACTTCACCCTTGTTCATTTATTTCCCATTTTTTTTTCGGTTTTTTTTTTTGGACAGTCACAGTTGCCAGTCGCCAGTTCGCGAAATCACAGCAGCACACACACAACTTCTCGAAAAGCAAAAAAAAAAAAAAATGAAAACAAGAAACAAAACCCACCGCTGAAGGAGGGGTAGAGTTACATTTTTACATGTGGTGACGGTGACGTCGACATCACCGGCGGCTGACGGACCAGAAAATAAGCATCCCGGCTCATTCCATCCCAGGACCACTCTCTCTTTTGGCCACTTCACCTGGGTTGTCGTCCTTTCGTTGATGTTTTTGGCGTGCGGTAAATGGCAAGGCCGAGCAGGCAGTGGTCCCCACCCATAACACCACCCCCAAGCAACACCCCATAGACCACCCCCATCGCATTTCGTTACTTGGCAGTCACCGCGCAAATGTTACAAATATTTGAAATATTTAAAATGGCACGCACACATACACAGGGCACAAATATGTAGGTGGGTATGAACCCACAGACATACATATATTCAGGCATGTGTGGCCCAAGTGGGTGGGTGGCCCTAAAAGTTTCTCACCGAGACCTTTTTGCATTATTAATGGCAAATTTCAATTAGCCTTTTGCACTAAACGCAGCCAAGCGAGGTTAGACCGAAAAGTTTGGAATATGGGTGATCAGTCAGAACATCCAAAATAGATAAACCCAGGGTCCCATAATTTATGTGTTTCAATAATATATAATATATCAGAATATCTTTCGTTGTTGTTCTAGTTTTCCACTTTTAAGATCTTCCCCTTAGTTTTTCTTCAAATCTCATATAAGCTTCTTGAGGGACTCTCATCTTATGAGATCTCCGCTTGAAATTCGCGCAATTTCGGAACAATTTCTAAACAAATTCAAGATGAATAATATAATAATATTTATTTTAGTTTTTATCAATTCAAGACTCTTTGATAAATTGTATAACAACTGTTAAAAACATTTTCTTATTTTTGTTAAAAAATAAAAATCAGTGATATTTTGTTTGTCTAGTTTAATGATCTTGTTTAAAACCGCCCTCGCTAATACCAATTTAATGTTTTTGTTTTGTTTGGCATGAAAGTCAAATGCTAAAAGTGTGTATGTGTGTGTTTGTGCACCCGTGGAAATACTTTAAAGCGGTGTAGGCAGAAGAAGGGACACACCTTCAGCCTTACACAAAAAAAAAGGTTTAATAAAAATATCTATAAATACATTGCTTATTGTAAAGTACATAACAAAAATTGGTTAAAAATCTCTTACAATTTATATAAATTTAATTGTATAAATTTATGTATTTCTATTAAGTTTTAATTTCTTCAATTTGATTAAATTAAACTTACATTTAGTTTATCTCAGTGCTAGATTTCAGCCTCCATAAAGTCCCATGGGCATGTGCGTAGAGGTAAGCACTTCCGCTTCCGCTTTCATGTTACATACTCCTCCTCATCTTTCTCCTTCTGCTTCTCCATTTTGGTCAAAAATATGAAATGAAAGATAAGCAAACCCGAAATCAGCTCCACACAGTGGTAAAGCTTCAAAAGGTAAATCTACCCACCCATTTCGTTCGCCCGCACAGATCTAAATTATTTAGGGATAATTTGAGTGTGCAGCATTTTTGTTATGATTGCTCTGCTGCACTCATATTTACATATGTCCACGAGCTGAAAGAATGAAAACAGAGAGGGAAATGTAACAAAAGAAAATCCAGCCGAGCGGGAAAAGAGATGGAAAATTGAGCGGGCGGATGTCGGAATGTCTTTGGTTATTTTGCGGTTTTTCTGCTGTCTGTGTCTGTGAATACGAATACGAATTTGTTTCCCCTTTTATGGCAGCCACTTCCGCACTTGCCACCGTCCACTTCCCACTCCCAGTGCAATTGTCTCATGTCCTTGGCTGCTGACCCAACTGGGTATTATCCTTTTGACCAGCAGCTTGCCACGCGATCCTAACCGATTCCATTTCACAGCCATAACCGCAAGAGGTTTTCAATAACAACCGGGTTTGCAACCGGAGAAATGGAAAATATATAGAAAACTATTAGGTATTTTACCTTTATAATGAAGATTTAGAGATATTTAGAGCAAGCATCCTATTCAGATCCATCAAATCAAAGTCCATGCAGTCTCCTGTGTTCATTTCACAAAAAATTTGATCATTCCTTCGGTAAAATATTATCCCTCTTAAACCTTAGGTCCTTGAAATAAAGAAGATATCAGGAACCGGAAAAATTTCTTTAAAATTTTATTTTAAAAGCCCTACTAATATTTTTACTAAAAAGAGTGTTATTTTTAAAGTTTAAGTTTTTTTTTAAATAAGTCTTAAATAACTGATATTTACGGTCCCTGGAAGATAGTGTTGCCTGGCGCATACAATTAGAATTCCTACGAGGTGAAAAATACTCAATACTCTGGATTTCTAGAATTGAAATTGCCATTTTTTACAAAAATACTTCTAAATTAAAATTACAATCTGAAACAAAACATTTTTTCAAAGCCTACCTTCTTAACAATAAGAAAATCCATCGATTTGTATGGCAGCTATATGAAGGGACGGTGGTAAAATTATGATATTAATATATGGGCATAATATCAGTGAGAAATTAAGTTGTGCAAACTTTCAGCTTAAACATGTAAGAATTGTTGTCGTGGAAATATGAATAGGGTTTTTCTAAATTCGCATAAAAAATTATACATCTTGGAAATGATGAAAAGGAACAAAAATGTTTCTTCGGGTAAATTAAGTTGGTTATGACATGGACAATCTTGGATAGTTTAGTTTATTTTATAGGATGAAGAAGACTTTCAAAGCCGCGATAAAAAATTTCAAATAATTAAAATTCATACTTTTTGACAAAAAAAAATGTAAGAAAATATTTTTCCAATTCCCTTAGTACACATTTAAAAACGTGTAAAGTTGCACGTTGTTCTTTTAAGCCGTTCCCGAGATATACTAATTTGATGTTTGAGAACATTTTTTAAGTTCTTCTAAATGGACACCAAAAAATTTCAAAAAAAAACACAGATGATAACGAAGGCAAACTCTACGAGGTACCTGAGTTCAAAGAAAATCTAATATTTCATATGCGCTGTTGAGAAATTCTTACCCAAATAAAAGGTAATTTGGTTGTTCATCTTAAATCTTTCTTTCCGTATACCGCTCCGAAATGGTTCACAGTCCTGTTTGTCACTGTTTTTGTCCTGATCCCTGGCCCCAGTTTCCATCCCTTTGGCCCGTGTCCTTGGCCATCATCATCGTCATCCTCGTCGTCGTCGTCATCATCTTGTCGTGGCTGTGCGGCTCCTGCGGCAAATTAAAATTAGTTGTTTATTTTGTGCAACATAAACAAATAAGCGCGACGTTCAGGACCAGAATACCCACCACCAACCCATCCCCTCTCATCCGGATGATGCAGAAAGCGGCTGGAAGTTTAGACGGGCTCCGTTAAGTTGCGTCCATCGAAGCTTAAAAAAGAAATCATTTATCAGAGCCACAGACGAGCGATGAGATGAGAGGATGTAGCTGCAGCCACTGGAAATGCAAATGGAAAGGCGGCGACAAGAAGTGGGCACAGCGTCGAGATGAGGGCCAATCCCAAATGGAATCTGTCATAGTTTCTCTGGAACGGCACTTGAGCGGACACTCAAGGTTGTAATAAATCTGCCCGTGCATTTTTTCGAATTTCTCTCTTAAAAACAGTTTATTGCTCCCATATCAAAGACAACTAATCCCTACGAAATATCCACTGCGGCAACAAGTTCTTGGGAGTCAAGAAAGATTACGTTATCTTATCATATTATCGTATCAGAGAATAATGGGTTCAGAAATGTTTTAATCATGTTATGATTAACATTAAATTTTAAATTATAAAAATTTATTTATTCATTTATTTATATAAAGCAAACTTAAAGTTAAAACTATAAGCTAACTGAGATTACGAGCTCTAGCAGCTAAGGTCTTCAGCTCGTCTGAGGTGTTGATTTAGATACATTTTTATTTTTATTATTTGAATTTAGATTTTCAGCTTAATTTTGGGTTTTTCGAGGTGTCTATTTAGATACATTTTTATTTATTATTTGAAATTTAGATTTTAAACTTAATTTGGGCTTTTCGAAGGAATGAGATCATTTTACTGACGTTGTCGGGAGTTGGGTGTGAGATGATGTTGATGGGGTTGAGCGAATGAAAGGAATAAGGAAGGGCAGTGGATGATGATGTGTTCGATATCAATTGGGGAGTGATGGCAGAATGGGCATGTCCTGGGAAAAGTTCTATCGATGTAATGGGCATTGGTGAGTTATAAATTATAAAAATAGTTATCTTTTAAACGTAATCCATATTGGAAAAATATATTAACTATAATAATTCGCAGATTTTTCCAGAGAATATAAGATTGGTTAAGATGACATCAAAATTTAAATCACTGTCCTTGGGCTTGCTTGAGCTTAAGGCCGGCGCACCTGGACACCTGGCTCTGGATGGCCCGCTGCTTGGCCTTCTCGTAGATGGGCATCAGCTGGCCGGTCTCGCCCAGCTGCTTCAGCAGCTCGACGATGAAGGGCAGATAGTTGTGGCGCCGCCGGAGGTTCTCCTGGCGGTAGCGGCGCTTCTTGTCCTGCTCGAATCTCACGTAGGTCCTGAGGCTGGCGATCTCCGCCTGCCGCTCCGAGTGGCTCAGCGGCGACGGCTGGTGGACGAGCAGCTGGATCTGCCGCTCGTAGCTCCGCTGGCGATCCGAGACCAGGGCCATCAGGTTGAAGTGGATCTCCCCGACGCTGTAGCGCTGCATGCGGGCCTCGATGATGGGTCTCACCACGTCCAGCCAGTTCTGGTCCCTGCCGATCTCGGCCAGCTCGATGGGACCCTCGTGCAGCCCGTCCAGCTCGAACAGACGGCCCCTAATGGGCATGTAGCCCACGAAGTGGTAGACATCCTCGTCCGGCGGAGCCATCCGCATGTCCAGCTCGAAGAGCACGGGTCGGGCGAAGGAGTTGTGCACTTGGCGGATCTTCTCCTCGTTGCTCAGGCAGAGGCCCCGGGTCACGGGGTCCAGGTCCTGGCAGAAGCGCTTGAAGCCGTTCAGAGTGTCGCCCAGATCGACGTCCGGGTGGCGGAGGTTCAGCAGGAGACTGAGGAGGGCCTGCGTGGCACAGGCATTCGGGATCACCTGGCGGGCGAAGAAGATGTCGCTCCGATCGCGCACCACGCGACCGGCGGGCTTGTCGTCCTGCACCCACTTGAACAGGAAGATCAGGCCGTGGATGGGCTCCAGGTGGTGGAAGGCGTCGGCGTCCAGGGTCCAGATCTCCTCCACCTGGGCGCCCGTGCAGCCGAAGCCCCGAATCAGTTCGGTGAAGACCCCCGGGTCGCTCTCGATGAGGCACCAGCTGCTGTCGGGCTCCTCTTTGGATCCTCCTCCTGATCCTGATCCTGATCCTGATCCTGCTACTGGATTTGCTTCCGCCATCCTAGCTGTAATTTAGCAATTTCAACAACAGATCCTGGTGGACAACAAACGATGAGCTCAGAATTTTGGGGTTTGTTTGGAGTTTTTGTGACACATGAAACGGAGAATATTCATGACTATTTGATTAATTGACTGCTGATGATTTCATTTCGCACGCCCATACACACGCATATTGGACCAATTTACAATGCAAAAGAGTTGAAACATTCCCAGTCGGGTGGCTCACTTCAACAGGTGATAAAAAAAATAATATGAGGTTTCTGGCAGATTTATTTATGATCTCCGTGGATTATCAAAACCAGAGCTTATCGTTCGTTAATCTTATCAATTCCTTCTTTCCCAGAAGAACTTTTAAAATTAGACTTCACTTTATTTCTGTTTTCACTTTTAATTGCCAGTCTGAAGATTAAAGATTACCTCGGTGAAAACTTTCCTTTCAAATTCGAATGGCGTCAATTTACTTTTCTTGTCTTTGGGTGGGCAACAACCTCGATTTTAATGGCCCAGCCAAATGGTAAACAACATGTTTAAAAACACTGTTGAAAAAGTCTTTAAATTGAGCAAATTGGTATTATGTTTCAACATCTTATTACTCCTGAACTATCAAGTTCAAATTAGGGTGTTTGTTTTAGAGAACCGCGAATTCTTTAGCATCTCTTTCCCTCCACTCACTCTGCACTCACCATCCTTGATTTTGGCGTTCTCAGCCACAAAACCGCCAGAATTCACCATCCTCCGAATGAACGAAGCCCTAATGAGCCGCAATCGATCAACATTGCTGATATGTGGCTCACCCTAATGCTTATATATCCTCCTTCTCGCTGTCTGTGTATCTGGGCGTGGGAGTCACTGGAGGGACGTGGCAAATGGCGTCGCATCGCCAGGGGATTAACAGGCAGTAGCTGGGGCCGCCTGAGGGATAATAAGTGCATTGGAGCATCAAATCAATAAAACGCGCATACTGCCCCACGGTTGCGATTGCGACACACAAAACACACATACGCATACGCACTCGCATGGGACAGTGGACACTGGACATTGGACATGGGAGAATTGTGCGGGTCCCTCGCCCCACTGCCACAAAGAATTCGCTGCATCAGTGGCTGCAATTGCGAAACATTGTTAATTTATGCAAATTTAGCCAACGCCGCTCGCTTTGTGAAACGCCAATGAGGCAAGAGAGAGTCGAGCCGCGGAGCCGCGGAGTCGACTGGAACTCTCTGCACCACTGCCACTGCCACTGCAACCACCATCGGGCGTCGTCATAGCCGCGACCATGGCCAAAGCCGCGACCGCAGCGCCAACAACATTAACGGAGGAGCTCTGCACCAGCTGACGATGCAAAGGGCGCGGGTCCCTGTTCGGGCGCCATTGCAAAGGTGGTCGGTCCAAGGGAGACCCTCCGGCTCCCTTGCATAATTTTGGCACCACCACCTTGCCTTATTTGCATGCCATCCACTCCGCTCCACTCCACTTCATTCCACTCCACCCATCGCCTAGATCCGGCAAGCTGACCTCAAAGCCTATTTGGGTTTGGGACCACTCCAGCCTCTGGGTCCGAGCGAATTAGCACTCACCTAGCCAGAAAGTTTCTCATCGATGGCCACTCTAGCAGTCATAATATTAAATACATCTGCACACTGAAATAAAGAAGGGAATGTTTGTAAGATATAAACATGATTATGTGAATAATATTAATACCAACCGGTACTTTAAAGACGCAAGAAGATATTATAAAACAGGATTTTTAAACATTATAGATTTACGTTAGCATTAGATATTAATAATAAAACAAAAATCGGATTTGTTTTAAATTATTGTATAAAATGATATTTAAAGTTTTTGTTGAACTATGAGACAGAAAATATACAAAATGCTTAATACGTAATTAATTTAATATTATTTAAACTATAAATCTGTAAAAAGTTTTTAGAAATTTAAAAACACTTTAAATGACCGTTGTAATTCAATTACGCGCAGTGTATGAATATTTGATAATACAAATATATGGCTAACTGTATTTATTGTATTGTCTAGACACACGAAAACCGCAATTTGACTGCGCCTGCATTGCATTTTCCATTTTTCATTTTTTTCACCTCGTTTTTCGATTTTTTTTTTTGTTGTACGGCTTAACCGCATTAATGGCATAAAAAAAATAAAGCAAATTCCACTTAATTGTTCAATTTTCATGGAATTCGCCAGCCCAGGCTCAAAGGGCATATCCAATGGATGGCCAGGGACAGGGTGAAGTTCAAAGGGTGCCCGGTGGGGGAGTCGTCATGGGATCCATGACAGATGTTGAGCGCACCTTTCGACCTCCGGGGAGTAATGTATACTGCAGGTGTCCATTTCATATGGTAATTGAGGCTTCAGGGGAAACTTGGATTTCTTTACAGTAAATGCCACTATACATAAGTTAGTTAAGAATAATTTAACAGCATTGCAATAAATTAAGTAATAATTAAGTATTCTATTAAAAAGGTTTATATATTTCATATTAAATAACGTCAACTCAGTGGTTGGCCCGTGTTTTCCAATGCAAATTCAGGGGATTACACTTGAGTGATACTTGAACTCCAGAATGCTCGGCCTCCGATCGTAAATTTCAAGGGCTCCTCCAGTTATACAATTTCGTTCGGATGGACCCCCTCCCTCCCCAGACTTCTTGTCATCTGACAAGAACTGTCCCAAATGATATGCATTTGGGACAGCAGATCACAGCTAAAGCGTAATCTTGAGACAGTAACCGAAAAATACCAACTCTTATCGAAAACAAGACTCGCCGGGAGGAGAAGAACTTTGGGTGGGGTTCGCCTGCGTCATTGGCGAAAAAACTGCACTCGGTGATCACTCGTGGGGGCGGCGGGCTGTCGACCCCGGTTATACGATTGAGTGAAATGAAATCGCGAAAAGGAAAGACAATTCTACGCCTGTAGTTGTATTCTTTTTATATCTGTTATTATGTTTATTCAACTAGCTGGGGGCAAATAAAGCAAAGACTCCAGTCAACGGAAATGCGCAGCCCGCTTTATCAACATTTACCTTGGCGTTAGTGTTGGCCAAGATTAAGATTACGTATTTGGCAGTCAAAACAATTGGCCGGGAGAAGAAAGAATGTTAGTTCTAAGATAACACAGGTGACTCATAAAGTGCGTGGCTCATCGATGGGGTTGGTTGGATGACTTACATTGTAGGTCTATCTATCGTATGATATCCCATCCCAAATGCAGATTGAATTTCATTAGGCCTATTAACTTTTGATTTTTTGTATCATATCATATCACTTGCGCCGCAATACCATAAATTGGTTTAGCCACACGCTTATCAGGCAAGAGGACAAACAAGCGATTATCGTCTATTTGGCTAGCGTCAGCTGAGATTTGGCTCGGGAAGCTGCGGAGATATCTAGAATTTTTGCATAAAAACCCCGAAGGTTGGCGTACAGAGGATAGTAACGATTCTTCATTCGAACCTAAAACACACCCAACGACGACGACGATGACAACGAACCGATCCACCAGACTTCTGGTGTTGCTAGTGGTAATTGCATAATATCGGAAAACGCGGACATCAAACCGATTCAAGTTTTATTATATCACTTGCATCGATCAGTGTCGCAATTCGTGTTTTATTTTTTTTTGCTGTTTTCATTGTTTTTTGGTTACCTTAACTGATATATTTTATTGGAATCCACTCGGTGTGGCACTTGGATACGCACATGCCTCGAAAACGAAAAAAAAAACACCAATCAAAATTGAATCGGTAACCGAATCCGAATCCGAAACCGTAGCTCCCGGGACTCTTGTTACTTTGGATAACGTTCAAAGCGCTCGGCGATCACTCGAAAGTAACCTATGCAAGTGAAAAAAGAAACCAGTGTAATTGTTAAGGTCCCGAGACACAAACAGTGCACCTTGACCCCACAGCCCATGGAGCAGCCCACTAACCCACTAACACGGGTTCCCTCCTCTTTCTCGCCCACAGTTGACCTCCCTGGTGGCCAGCCATCAGGCGAATGCCGCCGCCGTGGGACTGAAGTGCGGCGGCAAGAGCGCCGTCTGCGTGGGACCCCTCTCCTACCAGCAGTGCGTGGACGACCTGACCTCCGGTCCGGTGGTGCCCTGCGAACTGAACACCCGCTGCGTCACCGACGGCCTCGAGATCTGCGTGCCGGTCAAGTCGGCCGCCGAGGCGCCGACGGCATCCGTTGCCAAGATGGTCACCATCACCGACAGCCCCGTCAGCGAGTCTGCTCCGCTGGTGGAGGGCAGTTCCAGCGCAGCCGGCGCAGAGATCTCCACCGAGGGACCAAGTTCGGCATCCAGCGCTTCTCCCGCGGAGACTCCTGCTCCGGTTGAGACCACCCAGGCTCCAGTCGAGACCACCCAGGCTCCCGCTGAGACGACCACCGCTGCCATCGAGACCACAACCGGATCAGAGACGGAGTCGACGATTCCCGGCGACACAACACCCGTGGACACCACCTTGGCACCTGGATCGGACATCACTAACACACCCATTGAACCCAACACCCCCGTGGCACCCGAAGGCACCACTGTGGCTCCAGGAGAAGATCCCAACGCTCCCGCGGGAACTACCCTTGCTCCCGGTGAAGCTGACCCGAACACGCCAATCGATCCCAATGCCCCACTAGACCCGAATGCACCCGAAGGATCTACTAACGAGCCCGGTTTAACGGACCCTACCACTCCGGCTGAAACAACCGCTGCTCCTGGATCTCCTTCTGAAGGATCAACCGCAGCTCCCGGCACTCCTGCTGATGTAACCACCGCTGCTCCTGGTGCTCCTGCTGATGTAACCACCGCTGCTCCTGGTGCTCCTGCTGATGTGACCACCGCTGCTCCTGGTGCTCCTGCTGATGTGACCACCCCTGCTCCTGGTTCTCCTGCTGATGTATCCACCGCCGCTCCTGGTTCTCCTGCTGAAGGATCTACCGCTGCTCCTGGTTCTCCTGCTGAAGGATCTACCGCTGCTCCTGGTTCTCCTGCTGAAGGATCTACCGCTGCTCCTGGTTCTCCTGCTGAAGGATCTACCGCTGCTCCTGGTTCTCCTGCTGAAGGATCTACCGCTGCTCCTGGTTCTCCTGCTGAAGGATCTACCGCTGCTCCTGGTGCTCCTGCTGATGTAACCACCCCTGCTCCTGGTGCTCCTGCTGATGTATCCACCGCCGCTCCTGGTTCTCCTGCTGAAGGATCTACCTCTGCTCCTGGTGCTCCTGCTGATGTAACCACCCCTGCTCCTGGTGCTCCTGCTGATGTAACCACCCCTGCTCCTGGTTCTCCTGCTGATGTATCAACCGCTGCTCCTGGTTCTCCTGCTGAAGGATCTACCGCTGCTCCTGGTTCTCCTGCTGAAGGATCCACCGCTGCTCCTGGTTCTCCTGCTGAAGGATCTACCGCTGCTCCTGGTTCTCCTGCTGAAGGATCTACCGCTGCTCCTGGTTCTCCTGCTGAAGGATCTACCGCTGCTCCTGGTGCTCCTGCTGATGTAACCACCCCTGCTCCTGGTGCTCCTGCTGATGTAACCACCCCTGCTCCTGGTTCTCCTGCTGATGTATCAACCGCTGCTCCTGGTTCTCCTGCTGAAGGATCTACCGCTGCTCCTGGTTCTCCTGCTGAAGGATCTACCGCTGCTCCTGGTTCTCCTGCTGAAGGATCTACCGCTGCTCCTGGTTCTCCTGCTGAAGGATCTACCGCTGCTCCTGGTGCTCCTGCTGATGTATCCACCGCCGCTCCTGGTTCTCCTGCTGAAGGATCTACCGCTGCTCCTGGTGCTCCTGCTGATGTAACCACCCCTGCTCCTGGTTCTCCTGCTGATGTATCCACCGCTGCTCCTGGTTCTCCTGCTGAAGGATCTACCGCTGCTCCTGGTTCTCCTGCTGAAGGATCTACCGCTGCTCCTGGTTCTCCTGCTGAAGGATCTACCGCTGCTCCCGGTACTCCTGCTGATGTAAGCACCCCTGCTCCTGGTGCTCCTGCTGATGTATCCACCGCTGCTCCTGGTTCTCCTGCTGATGTATCCACCGCCGCTCCTGGTTCTCCTGCTGAAGGATCTACCGCTGCTCCTGGTGCTCCTGCTGATGTAACCACCCCTGCTCCTGGTTCTCCTGCTGAAGGATCTACCGCTGCTCCTGGTTCTCCTGCTGAAGGATCTACCGCTGCTCCCGGTACTCCTGCTGATGTAAGCACCCCTGCTCCTGGTGCTCCTGCTGAAGGAGCTACCGCTGCTCCTGGTGCTCCTGCTGAAGGATCTACCGCTGCTCCTGGTTCTCCTGCTGAAGGATCTACCGCTGCTCCTGGTTCTCCTGCTGAAGGATCTACCGCTGCTCCTGGTTCTCCTGCTGAAGGATCTACCGCTGCTCCTGGTTCTCCTGCTGAAGGATCTACCGCTGCTCCTGGTGCTCCTGCTGATGTAACCACCCCTGCTCCTGGTTCTCCTGCTGAAGGATCTACCGCTGCTCCTGGTTCTCCTGCTGAAGGATCTACCGCTGCTCCCGGTACTCCTGCTGATGTAAGCACCCCTGCTCCTGGTTCTCCTGCTGAAGGATCTACCGCTGCTCCTGGTGCTCCTGCTGATGTAACCACCCCTGCTCCTGGTTCTCCTGCTGAAGGATCTACCGCTGCTCCTGGTTCTCCTGCTGAAGGATCTACCGCTGCTCCAGGTTCTCCTGCTGAAGGATCTACCGCTGCTCCTGGTTCTCCTGCTGAAGGATCTACCGCTGCTCCTGGTTCTGCTGCTGAAGGATCTACCGCTGCTCCTGGTGCTCCTGCTGAAGGATCTACCGCTGCTCCAGGTTCTCCTGCTGAAGGATCTACCGCTGCTCCTGGTTCTCCTGCTGAAGGATCCCCAGCTGCTCCTGGATCTCCCGCTGATGTAACCACTGCTGCTCCTGGCACTCCTGCTGTTCCCAACGTCCCCGCTGGTGGTGCTCCTGCTGATTCCAACGTTCCTGCTGGTGGTGCTCCTGCTGATTCCAACGTTCCCGCTGGTGGTGCTCCTGCAGGTTCCAACGTTCCCGCTGGTGGTGCTCCTGCTGATTCCAACGTTCCCGCTGGTGGTGCTCCTGCAGGTTCCAACGTTCCCGCTGGTGGTGCTCCTGCTGATTCCAACGTTCCCGCTGGTGGTGCTCCTGCTGATTCTAATGTTTCCGCTGGTGGTGCTCCTGCAGGTTCCAACGTCCCCGCTGGTGGTGCTCCCGCAGGTTCCAACGTTCCTGCTGGTGGTGCTCCTGCAGGTTCCAACGTTCCTGCTGGTGGTGCTCCTGCTGATTCCAACGTTCCTGCTGGTGGTGCTCCTGCAGGTTCCAACGTTCCTGCTGGTGATGCTCCTGCTGGTTCCAACGTTCTTGCTGGTGGTGCTCCTGCTGGTTCCAACTCCCCCGCTGGAGCTCCCGTCGTCCCTAACTCGCCGCTTAGTCCACCATCTGGCTCAGTCATTCCATCGATTCCTGTACTGCCTGGCGGAGGCGGCTCTTGGCCTTGGCAAGTCCGCCCTAACATTCCCATCCTGCCGCCTAACTGGAGGCCCCAGCTTCCTGGACAGGAAGGCTCAGGTGCCGGCGCTCCTGCTCCTGGCAATGGACTGAACAATGGCAGTGCCAACCCGCCCCAACGTCCACTTCCCTTCTGGCCCAACTGGCAGAACTGGGTGAACAGCTGGAGACCAACCAAGCCAGTGACCACCACTGAGGCTCCTGCCCAGAATCCCGAGAAGCCCCAGAATCCCGAGACTGCCGAGAGCGTAGAGCAGGCTGCCCCAGTGCCACCAGCCGGCGGAGCTGCGTCCAATGAGAACGCCTCCGTTGAGGAGGGCAACAAGGCCTCCGGCGAGAAGTCGAAGGACAAGCCCAAGTCTGGCGAGGATCAGTCCAAGGAGCAGGAGCAGAAGAAGCCCAGCTCCGAGGAGAAGGACAAGGACAAGGACAGCAAGGAGAAGAAGGACAAGGACAGCCAGGAGAAGAAGGACAAGTCCAAGGACTCCAAGGAGGAGAAGGATAACGAGTCGCAGAAGGACAACGAGAACGAAGACGAGCTGAGCTCCAAGGAGAAGAAGCAGTACGTGAAGGACCTGATCAAGAAGCTGAAGAAGGGCGACGAGTGCGACGAGGACGACGTCTATCCGGATGTCCGCGACTGCCGCAAATACTACCGCTGCGAGGTGAAGCGGTCCGGCAAGCACAAGTTCGCCCACCTGCGCTGCGACAAAAAGGAGCGCTACGATTGGCAAGCCAAGACCTGTTTGCCCAAGGACGAGGCCCGCTGCCTGGAGAAGTAGAAGGGCGGGGGTACTAGTCACCCATCTGTAAAATCTGCTGCTTCCGTATGATAATCTCAGCCTCAACTGTACTTCTATATTGGCAATGATATTCTATCTGTAAACCTTGGTCCTACCTAATTTATTTCATTATTTTAAAATACCTTTATTTTTTTGTTTTCAACATTAAATCTTGAACTTTATGAAAATCTGGCAAATCATATGTGTCTCTTTGGATGGGTTATAACTTGGGAATTATCATCGATACGATATATTCAAAAATATTCGAGAAACCTAGTAATTTTTTGGATACTCTTTTTATAAAGTTTATCTATAGAAATCACTAATAACTTATTTTATTTCATTTCATTTATTTATTTATATCCTAACGCTACAAGTAAAAACTTGTATTTATTATTAAAAGAAAAATAATAATAATTTAATTTAACAGTTTTTATAGGTAATGTTGTTGTTGAATCTTTAAAATCTAATAAAACCTTAATTATCCCATCTAAACTTTTTCCGATTATATAGAATTTATAATATTCCAGTATATCAGAGGCTGTATTGTTAAATATTATTAAATCCTTTAAAAAGCCTCTGAAAGCCTAATCTAACTTATTGGAGTTCTCAAACATGTGGAAAATCCTCAATTCCTTCCGATTTCGTGCCTTTGAACTATCTAAATGGGCTCTCGGCACAGCTGTTTTGAGTCTAGCCCCTCGACCACTTTTTGTTCCTACCAATTTGCTGATTATGTCCTCCACTTCCAATCCCCCCGCCCTCGAAGACATATAATGAGTGAAGGAACTTTGGCAAAGTTTCCAGCAGTGCTTCCTTAAAGCATCTCACTTACACTTGCCAAGTTTTTTTCCTATGTAAATATTTAGTGTAGCATAGAATTTTGAAGTGAAACGTAAACAGGAGCAAAAAAGCGTCGAGGGGAAAGTGCATTGGCTGGCATTCCGGGTGGCCGGGTGGCCAGAAGGCAGATATATATAGAGCTGGAGTACCGGAGACCCAGTCCTCCAACTGCTGGATTCCCGGCCAGAAAAAGAAGAGAGGGGTTGGGGGAGTGAAGCAGAGCAATACACTTAAGTTGATTCGCTGTCATCCATTGCAGCTCATTTATCATTAGACGGAGTCACACAGGACCAGGCCTGGCGACAGTTTCAGTGTCGTCTAAGCAGGACGAGAAGGATGTGGAGAAGGAGGAGGAGGATCAAGGACGGGGGACATGGGCGCGTCAAGAGCAAGCCCAACACTTTGCAGGGAGTGAAAGCAGGGAGACCACGACAACGACGACGACGACGACGAAGTAATTCAATTTTTATCGTGGGTAATTTTGTAACGAGAAACGAAGCAAGCAAATGCAGTGGGTTTGGGTTTGCGTTGGGGTTTGGGTTTGGGGCTTTATGGGTATGGTATAAGGGTATAAGGGACCGTCGCTGACCGTGCTGATAAGAGCGAGATGGAAATGTTATACAGCCACTGACACGAGAATTGCGGTCTGACAGGGAAAGCCAAGGCCTTAACCCCCCAACAGCCAAGGGGGTCACAAGGCCTCTAAATGCATACACAAACTCTACGATCAAATCTAAATAAAACAATTCATTATATAAATTAAGTTATTTTAAGATTATACACCTGTCAAATACCTATCAAAATGTAGAATACATTTTCTAAATCGGACCATTCATTAAAAAGTTATGGGCATAAATTGAAACAGCCGCTAGATGGAGCCAGTAGCTTTGATAACTTTGATTGATTGTTAAAATATTTGTAGTTTTGAAAAATTTCATCTGATGAAATGACACGTTTTGAATCAAATGAATACTTTATATTTCTTTATCAGTTCTATCAAAGAAAATGAATTCCGAATATAAAGATATATATAAGATATCTGTCTAACTGTAAACAAAATAAGTTTATATGTTCTAGACTTAAACGTATTTAAATTAAAACAAAAACCTTTAACTAAAAATTAATTCAGAATATAAAGATATATATAAAATATCTGTCCAACTATAAAGAAAATATGTTTATATGTTCTAGACTTAAACGTATTTAAATTAAAAAAAAAAATAAACTAAAGAGCTGTTTAAGATATGAAAAATCAGAAAGAAACAAAGATCAATAAAAGGAAAATTACGAAAAGAAAATGTCAAATAACGAGGGTTAAGAACAGAACAAGTAGGGGTCAGAAAGAGATAGGGGGAGGGATGAGTGGGTGGTGTCGTGACACGGAGTGGTGCAACGCAATGTGCGACCATACGTTGAAAATTCAATTTGCCTGATGACTTGCTGTGGTTTAAATACGGCCAAAAAGCGACAGCGCACATTAAACTCATTGCCGCCGTTGTGGCCAAACGGATAAAAGGCGAAACGGACCGGCGACGGGCGACGGTCGACGGGCACCATGGCTACAGGACGGAGCTACAGGACCTACAGGACCTGACCGCCCGACTCACCCACCCATGTCCAGCCAGCTGCACATTATATACTTATGCATACGATGCAACAAAAAACGAGGAGGAGCCACAAAAAAAAACCAACTACAACAGCACAAAAAATAAAGCCAGCAGTGCAGCAGCAGCAGCAGCAACAACAGAATGAGACAGCGGCGCGCAAAAAGCGTAAACTTTGTTAACTCCATTTGACAACACGACGCAGTGGATGGAGAGGAGTGGCTGGGCGTCCATGGAGCATGGAATCCAGGGTCCACAGTCCAAAGTCCGGCATGGAATCCAGGCCGGCATCCTGGCCACATGGACCCACTTGAAGCCAGGCCGTTGATTGCATTTCATGCGCTTGGAAAATCAATTTTTATTTAATTAATGTGCCTCGTTGCATGCATTACACATATGCTGGGTCCTATGGCATAAGGGCTCCTATGTAAATCCCCGGTTATATATAGGTTGACGTCCATGTAAAAGTAACTTGGGTTAGATTAAGTTATCGCCGGCGATGGAAAGCTGGATGGATGGACTGAAAAATAAAGGATTCAACCCACTAAACTGACTTAACTCTATTGGTCCAGCAAATCGACACACTTTCGGAGCTGATTTCAGTTTAAGCTGAGGGTTTCAGTTGGTTTACATAGGGATAACATTCGTAGAGTAGAAGTAGAAACAATGTTAATAATATTTAAAGGTTGTTTCAACTTTAGAAATGTTAAAAAAAAATAGTATAATAATACAGACTAATTTCTGAACCTTTTAATCCTGAGTCACTTTAAATTTAAGTATGATCCTAACTTTTGAAATTTGCATTTAAGAGAAATAGTTTTGATTTCAACCAACATTTTGATAATTTCATTGACTCTTAAGAAGTCATATACTTGAAAGTAAAATACCTCGCAGAATTACTATAGCAATCTAAAACTCCTACTCATCCTACGTCACCTTATCACTAATGCTTACTCAAGACATCTTTCCGCCTAGTTGATTTCCGTTGAGCCACCTTTCGCATACTTCTTAAGCGCCCACAGAAGCCCTCCATCTCCATCCACTGAGAACCCAACTGACCCACACCCCAGTGCCCAGAGCACGGGTCTGGCTTTGGGAATTCGAGAAGAAGCCAGTAACATCAATCAGCGATCCCATCTAAATGCCATCAAATGGCATTTTCCACTGCCGCCTGCCAGGAAGCACAATGACGCCGCGGGGAGTTTGCCGCCAAGCGGTGGGTGGTTTGGGCGGTTTGGGTGGTTTCGTGGGTGTTTGTGGATCTGTGCCGCCGCCGCCTGCAAGGTGCTGCAACAAACAATGGCGGAGCTCACTAACGGGCAACTTGTACTTGTATATTTAATATTCACATTTCAATTGTTTTTTCTTTGTTTTCCTTCGAGGGAGTGTGTGCTCCCAACTTTCCCTCGCCCCCCAAATGGGGTTCATTGCGCAATTTATCCAGCTCCTGTGTATTCCCGTATTCCTACAATGCTTGAGGTTCGGTTCGGTTCGGTTTGGTTTGGCTTGGCTTGGTTCCTTGGCCCCAGTGAATTTTACCCTGTTTGCTTTGACTTCTGAGCTTTCCATTTCTTTCCTCTTCTGTCGCCGACAACCGAGGAGCAGGAGCAGGAGGCATCTGGCAACAGCTACCCCTGCATATCCTATCCATGCCTTTTATTTATAAAATTTTCATCAAGTTTCGTGTTATTAAAAATGGAATATATTCTCGCGCGAATACGCAATGGAATATTAATAGCATGAAAGAGCTTGAATTTTAATACAGATTCACAAATGTCTGGAACCTACGCCATTCCTTCGACTCGAGGAGTTGAGAATGAGCGAAAGTCCCTTTCCTGTCAATGGGAAATCTGTGCATATCGGCGGCTTATCCGTACGGGTCAGCATCCACGTTTACATTAACTGACCAGAAGAGCCACACTTTTAGAAAATTGTTTATTACATAAATAGCTCTTTTGACAAAAAAAATTGAATTTGTTTCTAGTTGAAAGACATGGTATTCAGGGTATTCTAATATAAATTCAAAATACCAAAGCGAGATAAGCCTAAGGCACTGTTTTTAAACGGATATCCCTGTCACTCAGATGGATTAAATATATTAACAAATTTATAAAACGTGTCTTACACAAAATTTAATAGAAACTGAATGTATCTGGAAGACTTGCCCTTCTTTTCTTGAGTGCAGAGACAAATCCTGGCTAAATGATGAATTAAATATATTAATAAATTTATAAAACATGTTTTAAACAAAAGTTAATAGATATAAGGAGGTTTTCTATTAAATCCACCATATCTGAAATTAAAGATAATTTTTTCTGTATAAATTATACTATTTTTCATAGGGAAACAGAATTTATCTAGAAGACTTACCCTTCTTTCTTAAGTGATGGATTAAATAAATTAATAAATTTATAAAACGTGTTTCAAACAAATGTTAATAGATATAAGGAGGTTTTCTATAAAATCCACCAGATCTAATATTAAAGATAATTTTTTCTGTATAAATTATACTAATTTTCATAGGGAAACTGAATTTATCTAGAAGACTTACCCTTCTTTTCCTGAGTGCACTCACAAATCCTGGCTGAATGAATGGGCTCCGTGAAAGAAAACACGGCGGTTCCATTATATATGTGGATGTATATACAAGAGGGTTGGGATGACCAACACTTTGACCCAGTAAGCGAACCCGAATCCTGGCCACCGTGGGTGCCAAAGTTCGCAGCCAGTCAAGCCGAAATGCTGCGAAG